AGTTGAAGGTCTCATAACAGAAATTACAATATGGTTGTGCCAGGTATGTCCGCATTTGCAGTCCTCGGGGAAATGCTCACTGGTTGTGACAAAGTGAAATACTGGAGGAAACTAGTATCTCAATATACAATGCTGAGCTAGTGAACATGACACTTTCTCTTTCATCATTGGATCTCTCTGGAGCAGAATAGAATTTTTTTTGTCTAAAAGTGATCTTGTTTGCATCTGTTTTTCACCATTTTTTTTTTGAGGGAACAACCAGGAAGTCCACTTTATGGGCAGAGAGACTATTCAATGGGTCCTCCCCACCTTCCATTTTAGTGTTAATTGGAGTTTACAATGGGTGCCATTTTAAGATGTGTTGGATGGTTGTTCACTTTTACAATAGAATTTCAGGAATCCTCATTATTTAAATTGGGTTTACCACAATATCTGCAGTGCTTCCTGGTTGCATAGCTTGTGGTAAATGTCAAGGTTTTAATGGCTCCCTTGGTACATGCACACACTCTGAAGACAACTCTTATGTCTGTGTCTGAGATGGAACTTATTCTTTAGGGCCTGTGAAAATTTTCTGATTTGTTTTGGGGTGGGGTAAGGGGTTCTCTGAGCCCCTCCCTGCTCTTTTTTTTGGGGGGGGGGAGGCTTTTAAGGGCTGGTGGTAAAGTGCTCTGGTAAATAAATTGTTTTAAATAGCCATGTTATAAGAGACTGCTGTTTATGTTCTTACCTGCTAATGCATGCTGCCCACTTTCTTTAAGTTTTAAAATCTTAGAGAAATGTCTGTTGTTTTGAAGGGAAATTATGTTCTGGAGAAATTGCTCTAATTTCAACAAATGCTAAGTCCTGCATAGCAGTGAGATGAAATACACTGATACAAAGTGGACTTGGCTATCTGGGACTCAGCAAGGAATGATGGTAGATAAATGTAAATGTTGGCATTTGTAATGGCACTGCATTGTTATGCTTGGCTGAAAGGAAGGGGAGTTAAAAGCTCATTTTAGGGAGCCTTGACTTGCCTGCATTTGGAATATTGTGTGAATTTCTGGTACCTATAGTTTGGGGAGGATATAAAACAATGCAATGAAAAGCAAAAAAGATGTAGAATTTGATTTAAGGGTGAATAAGGAAATTACAGTTGAACATGCCTGTCTGTTTGCTCTTTAAATGTATATACTCCACTACTTCTACAGCAGAGAGAATTCAAAGTGGTTGGGCACATAATATAAACCTAAACCTGATTATGGTTTCTAGGTATCTTTTGAGGAGTAACAATATAAAGGAAGAAAAGAGAATAAAGTACAGTAGTTGCAAATACAGAAGGACAAATAGTAGTGTTGGAATGTAGAACAAAAAAAGGTGGGCTACATCATCGGATGTTCTTATGGTTAAGAGATTTTTCCTTTCTTCCCAGTAAAATATGTGATTGGGACTTAGAAGACCTGGGTTCCATTCCCAGGTCTGCCACAGACTTCCTGTGTAATTTTGGGCAAGTCATTTAATCTCTACATCAGGGGTCGGCAACCTTTGGTGGTGTGCCGAGTCTTCATTTATTCACTTTAATTTAAGGTTTCACGTGCCAGTAATACATTTTAATGTTTTTAGAAGGTCTCTTTCTATAAGTCTATAATATATAACTAAACTATTGTTGTATGTAAAGTAAATAAGGTTTTTAAAATATTTAAGAAGCTTCATTTAAAATTAAATTAAAATGCAGAGCCCCCCGGACCGGTGGCCAGGACCTGGGCAGTGTGAGTGCCACTGAAAATCAGCTTGCGTGCCGCCTTCGGCATGCGTGCCATAGGTTGCCTACCCCTGCTCTACATACTTAATTTCCCCTATCTGTAAAATAGGGATAAGATTTTCCTCCTTCATAGTAGTATTGTAGACAAAGGACTTGTCTACAGAGCCCCAGTTTGGACTGCAGGAGTTGCATAGGGCATTAGCGTACTGCACTTTGATTGCCCAATGTGGATGCTGTTGGCATGAACTAAAAAGGTACCTAGTTTGTCTTTTATCAACAGGATTACATTAATGCAAACTAGGTACCTTTTTAGTTCATGCCAGCAGTGACCATGTGAGGCAATTAGAATATAACAACTGGGTGCTCTTCAATTCCTAGTGTAGATGCAGCATAAGTAATGACTTTGAAGTGTTCTTCCTTCTGTGATAGTGAACATGAGATTCTTTATCCCTTGCAGTCTTTAAGTCAAAACTGGGTCTTTCTAAATGAGGCACCGTGGCCTGCGATGTGCAGGAGGTCAGACTAAGCCCAGAAGGACCACTGAGATCATCTAAAGTCTGCGTCTGTGAGCTCAAACATAAATCCAGGGCTTGATCCAGAAATTTCTGGGTGAAGTTCTCTGGCCTGTGTTATGCAGGAGGTCAGGCTAACTGCAGGAACACTCAGAGGAATTTTTTCTTTAAATCTGGTCAACTGCTCAGAGTTGGCTGTGCTGTAATTCCAGTCATGCTGTTGTGACTACTGATGGGGGAACAGCAAGTGGTTTATCAAAATAGAGAACTGTATTTTACCGCCTTCGTCTTTCTATAAGGAAGATAAATCTTAAAAACTAGCATTACTATTAACAGTCAGAATTCATCGCATTCCCTGTAGCTTTGATATGCTTGACCTCATAGTATATATTGCTGTGAGTGAATTACTAACAATGGCATTGTTCCTGGCCATTTTTGCAGAAGACCTCTGATCCATGGGGATTTATAACATTATATATAATATCAACAAACCATAAAAATAGAAATGAGACCTTTCCATGGAACTTCAGAATAATCATTACTAACAGGGTCAGCCCCTGGCCTAATACTTTTTGTCTTGTGCATTTTTTTATACTGATAGTATTGTATGCAAGTAAGTGGTCTGTAAATTAGCTGGTCAGGAGGAATACTATGCAATATGTTGGCTATAATGAGGTATCTTGTGACTAAATAGAGTTAAATCTCTTCTTCCATTAATGGGCATCATCCTCATGCATCAGAGGAAGTTACAGTCAATACCATTAAAACATAGCTGGTTATTAAACCATACTATTTACTTTTGTCTTGTAATTTCTAGCATCTCCTATAATTTCAGTGGGAAATACCACAAGTATTTCAGTAAACCTAACTAATAGTGGGTGGGTAATATATAGTTCTTGATGGCTCACACCATTACTCATGTGCGAAACTCAGTCCCTCCTAATTTCTGTATGTGAGATGGAACTTGCTCTTAAGGACTTGTAGAAATTCTTGGCTTTTTTGTTTTCTGTTTTTCCTTTATCTGTCCAAATGCTCTTACATCCATGTATCTGTGATATGTCTAGAAATTCACATAGGGTCAGCCTACATGTCATGCTTAATTTCATACCCCACTGCTGCTGTGAGGGCATAGTATAACCTGGTCCAGGTGAAAATAGTTTATATATACACTCTCTCTCTCTCTCTCTTTATGAAAACTATTTAAATTAAATGTTAAGTAATATTGAATCAGTGCAGGAAACAAAATAAGGTAGAGCTCCTCTGACACAGGAAGATAATGGGTTATTATAACGAAAGATTCCTTATACAAAACCATATATTCAAAATCAGCTTCCTTCTGTGCGGAGCTGAAGTTCGTATCTCCACACCAATTCTAGTCTGCAATTTTGCTGACCAAAGAGCATGAATGATTCCCATTACTTCTCTATGTAAGGATGATTCCATACCAGGATATTATTCTTCCCATGTTGCCAAATTCCAGGCTCTTCTGTTCAGATAAATACCATGTCTAGTTATAAACTCATAACACAGCATAGCTAATATTTAAGAGGCTCACTGAGGCCAACAGGATCTAGCGTATTATAACTCGTGTTTAAATGAATCTGAATTCACACTGATGCCAGGAGATCTTAGCTGCACCTTGATCTGAAAGTTACTACTTTCAATTATAAAATGTAGCTTTTGTGATCTCCAGAGAAACTGCTTCCTTTTTAATATACCTTTGGGATCCTTAGAGTAAGAAATTCTATAGTCATCTGGGGCAACATGCCAGAAAAGAAGAGAGAACACAGAGAGAGGATGTTGGTGGGTACCACTTAAAATACCCTGGGCTGGGAGGAAGAGAACCTTAGGAAAAGTGATGGAACAAAGGCCCCAATGAATCCAGTTTAGAACCTTGCAGGGTCTCCAACATCAATTCACCTGGAGCTATCCCCTCTTTATCGCAGTAACTGGAACAAAGCAAAATGTATCTTCATACTAAGGGTACCACACAGCATCAAGTTAACTAAAAATCCATATGTTTCTAGGAGGACATGGCCTTAGAATTTTGGATATTTGTTTAGAGAACTGGTTCTCTTCCTATGTGATTTGATCCATGTCAGATCTCTGTTGTGAATCTAACTTTTTTTAAATTATTCTTTAATCACCCCATCACCACCAAGCTACAGAAGAAAATGCCATTTCATTACCACGGTACTGTATAATACACTACTTGTATCTGAGCACAGATAGTACAGAATGGGGGGCAGACAAACAGGTACATATTAAGATAAGAAAGAGATCTTAGGTGAAATGTGTTGAAGCTTCTATTTATATGCATAGTAAAAAGCAGACGTTGTCAGTGGTAATGTGCGTCACAAGGGAGAGACAAATGAAATGATTTGTCATTCCTCTCCTTTTGGAAGTAATGTCTATGCAAAAACTCACCAACATACTAGAAACTGAAGCTAATGGCTGAAATTGGCTTAGAGAATTACATGATGTTTCAGTACCCATTCAGCTGGTGTTAAAAATTTAGGTTGATGCCTGACATTTGTGGGTGAAGCACGAGTGGGGCTGGGAAAGTGGTGGTGTACTTCAATTTTTCCTTTTATTTTTTTCCCCCTTATACCCAGCATCAGGGAACACAGCATGACCACTCACAGCTCCATAATTTATAACAATGAGCTGAACTTTTGTTACCAGCCATACAAGTAATTTCTTTCCGGCTTATCTCAAAACAGTACAAAGAGGCAAGTCCAATAAGGTTTGTGTTTTTTAATGTTTATTAGGTGTTTAAATAAACTTCACAAAGCAGTTAATTGTATTACACCAAGATCAGGAATATTATCGCCATTCTTATCTAAGGCTCCCATTTGTAAGAAATTTTGGGGTGAGTTTGTCTTGTTTTGCCAAGGACACACATAGCCATCATCGCTCTGCATGTGCAATGTTGCAGTGCATAGATTTTATTTTATTATATATATTTTTAGAGGCGTTTTCAACCATCTCTCCTCCTGTGTTCAGAGTCCTCGGGGGTGCATACAGGGAGGCTTTTTCTATACCAGAGTTTTTGTTAATATCTGTAGTAAGTAAGAGAGATTAATGGCAGAATGAGCTCCCTTTATGTTGTAATCAACTCCAGGGAGGAGTGAGTGTTGTCTCAACCATCTGAGTCAAACCAGCTTAAAAAAAAAAAATCCTGAAGATATTCGTCTTTTGATCAGAAAAGTTTCATATATGAAAGACTTTCAGTGCTGCTTTCAGAGCTGATATTCCTCTTGATTGTGATCACAAAAAGTGGGGCCACAGTTGCATTCATTGTTCAGTGAGCTTGTCCACATAGTTAAACCCACCGACAGCAATGAATGTTGATTGTGACCTTTTTAGTAAAGCTCTGCAAAGAGGATGGGGTGGGGGGAAGAGATACCTTGTGTGCTGGTTTGGCAGCTGTCTTCAGTGAAAGGCCTGAAAGCATGAAGTAAGGAGGATGATGGTTAGCTGGAGGGTACAATCAACGGTCGATGGTTTTCACTTTAATTCCAAACTCACCGACAGCGTTGAATGTTCACTGAAGCAACCACTAAAAAGAGAACTCCACTGACTTGACAGCATCCTTAAAAATCTGAAAGGGGGGGAAAATCATAACTGACACAATGGTTTTAATCATACAGATTATGCAGTTTGTCACTGTTCCCTTAGCACCACCACCCACCTTCCTTGGCCCGTTCTATTATAATCCTACAGCAAGGAACTGGCAACTCTCCAGGCTTTGATCCTATGAAAAGAAAAGGTCTGTTTCATTTATTGAAAAGCTTTATTTATCTAGTTTAGAAATCTAGACCAAAGTTATCTAGGGTTGTCAGTCAAACCATGTGTTATCAAAGTGTGTAATCCCATACTTCTACACAACTGGGCAAAAGCACAATGAACCTGCAATGTCACTAATAGATTGCCCAGTCCCAATAAAGTCTCTTCTGTTGGGTGAATTCAATCAAACCTGAATCTGTTTAAGATTGTCGGGTATTGACTGTTTTAAGCAGCATATGTTTCTCAATAAGCTTCTTGGGGAGGATGGGGAAGTAGAACGACTTCATTCTCTTTGTAAATTACCATATATGCCAGTAGTACTATATTAAATTAATTGTCTGTTCTAAAAGGAGCATCCTGTTTCTTCAAATGCTTCTATAAAACCCATGCAGTTAGTCTAATTTAGAAAGCCTTTCTACATACCTATCCACCACACACATCTGCCTAACTTAAGAAGTCAACTGAAATCCCATTATACTAGTTTAGAGGTAATCAAATTGCAGTCTGATGCAGTGTTAGATATTCTTTAAATGTAAATTGGAGTTGGCTCCACCTGTTATGAAAATCTAGCATGAGAGTAAGAGGTGAACTTATCTGAGTCATTCTAACTTAGATTCCTTCTTGGCGTGCAGTGAGAGGTGTGGTAAGTTTTTTGTTTTTGTTTAAGTGTCTTGTCCATATCAAGGATTGGATGATCACACTTCGTGAAGTGCTCCTTCTGATAAGACTCCAGCAATAATGGAAGTTGTTTGCCTTTCCTCTAAACCTTGCCAGTTCATTTAGACTTTCTCTTCTATCAAAACTGGCTTTTAGAAAAATGGAAGTGAACATAGTATTGCAATTCATGTGTAACGCAACAAAGATTTGTCTTCCTTGGCTATTAATTGGAAGGGTTGGGAAGTGGAAAGACACGAGTATGAATCAGAGGACAAAGTGAGACTTTAAAAGCAGCAAAGAGTCCCGTGGCACCTTATAGACTAACAAACGTATAGGAGCATGAGCTTTCGTGGGTGAATACCCACTTCTTCGGATGCATGATGTGAGAGTGAGACTTATCTACCTTGCTTACTCTCTGCACTGGCAAGCAGAATTGGCCTGCAGAAGAGAATTCCCTTGAAAGGTTCAAGCTCAACTAGAGTCTTTATCTTACTGTGCAGTAGAATTAGTTATCGTGAAACTGATAATTTGTTGGTTTTCATTAAATGCTGCATCTGAAATCTTGTTTCCAAGTGGGGGTGTGGCATATTTGGCATTTCAATGCATAACCTATTTTCAGTCACTTCAAGCATCAACTTGCTAATATTTGCATAAATAGGAACCCAAAGCTAAAAGACACCACATACCATGACTGTGTGCTATTTCCTTTAGTATGGTAAATAAGGCTCCCTAGCAAGTATTTTAAGTCATAGCTATTTCTTTTAAGTGATCTGTCCTGCATATACTGGAATTGATTGCCCCACTTTTTTAACATGTAATAGTAAACTAAGATAAATGATTTGCTGTCCTTTATCCAACAGAATATCATACTGGTTCACATAAACATGATTGCAGTAGCATTTGGCCTGCTAAACCCAGGGTTGTGAGTTCAATCCTTGAGGGGGCCACTTAAGGGTCTGGGGCGAAATCAGTACTTGGTCCTGCTAGTGAAGGTAGGGGGCTGGACTCGATGACCTTTCAAGGTCCCTTCCAGTTCTAGGAGATGGGATATCTCCATTAATTTAAAATTATAAACTGGGGTCCTTTTTCTTTTGTGGGCTATAGTGTGCTTGTAGACAGGATGCTTCCCTTTTCTCCCCCCCCCCTTTTTTTTGGCCTGGGAAATGTATCACTTGCAATTGTGAAAGCTTCAGAATTCAAAGTAAATGCAGAGTAAACTTGTTTTGCCAATACAGCCAAGAACTTGTGATGTGTCCACATATAGCAGACCACAGTCTTGCGGTTTGATTATCTGCTCACTTGCACTGGTTTTATTCCAGTGCAACTCCATTGGCTTCAATGAAGTTGCTCCTGATTTACATCATCATGACTGAGTGGAGAAACAGGCTCCTGAATTCAATAGGCCTTTGTTCCTATCTGCATGTGTTCAATGAGTAGAGTTTAGGGTCACTCACATTTTAGCATAGAAAATGGAGGATGTTTGCTTTTTTATTCTTCATTTCTTTCTCCTTCTGTCACTTTGTTTAAAAAACAAACAAACAAAAAAAAACGATCTTGTCTGGCTGATAACCAACGTCTCTATTTCCAAGGCTAGGTTTTGTGGCTGGGTTAAGTTCTATCTCAAAAACTACAGCTGGCTTTTCATTCTAGTCTTCTAGACTGGAGATAGATGTAAAACCACAGTCTTGCTTTATTTAACTCTATGCTGATGGAAGCAGAGGCTCATGGGAAATCCAGGCACTTGTGAGCTGCAGTCCTGATGCCCAAACCTTGAAGTTTATGCAGGGTAATAATGCTTTCCTCTTGTCATCTGGTTTTCATTTAAAAAAAAATTCCCAACTGGGCAAATATAGCTTAGCTAGCTGTGCTACAAATGCCAGATTTATTTTAAGTTTTATTTCAAATCTCCAGGCTTATGAGAACATTCAGATTAGTTGTATGCTTTTTTTTATTTAAGGTTAGTAGGTCATAAATAAACCAAAGCACTTTCCTTGCTATGAGCAATAGGGTCATAGTGTACATGAAATATCACTTTTTAAAAAGTAGGAACCTAACATGAATTGACAGAGGGTACATGAGGAAGCAGTTCATTGTGTCGCTGTAAAGGCCATAGGGATTTGGGCTGTTGAGGTTGTCTGTTTCAGGAATAGATTAGATATCTTGTCTGATGACCTGCACTTAATTTAAGTGACTGCCTTTGCCAGCCCTTCCAGAGGGCAACTGTGTGAAATAGAGCATCTCATCTTCAGTCTCCAGTCCTTTTTTCCTCCTCTTGATGCCTGACCTAAATTGAAGATATGGGGGTGGGGAGGGTGCTCCACAAACAATTACTTTGCTGCTGGGGAAGCTACATCTCTACTCTTAATTAACGGGCGTCCACATCTTGACTTTTTATCTGTTCTCAAAGAAGAATGTTTAACTGCATAATATTGGCTAATATCAGCAACTAGATTTCACTGTTCACTACCACTCATGTTTATCAGTTTCCCTATATGGGACAGTTATTTAGGCTTCCTTTCCTATTTAGAAATAGTTACTGCAGCTGTAATTTGAAACTTTCCCCTGCTCTCTTTCTTTGTCCCTCCCCTTCCTTTTCCCTCCTCCACCCACCCATTGGGGAATACATGATAGATGCCAAATAAGTCTGGATCCATGCTGCCTGCATTGAACATCCTTTTGAATCTCTCTTGCTGCCCTTACAAGCAGTGAGACTGTTAAGAAAAGCACCTGGTTGTACAAATAGTCTGGAATTGGGGATTTCTTGCAAGTACATACAGGTTCTAAGAATTGCACTCCTAGCATCTCTCTTTAGGGATACATTTAAAAAAAATTCTATGCAGCTTCTGCACTGATTGAAAGATTATGTTAATGTAGCTCGGTGGTAAATGCTTTGAGTGGCTTACAGCATCTTTAACTTGCACTGACAACATTTAACAGTTAATAGCATCCCCTTGATGTTATTAAATTGTTACTAGAGGGAAAATTAGGTCTTGCATATAAATATTCATTTGTCTAGAAGCAAGGGGCAAAACCACATTGTTCTGCTTGTGTGTCAAACTATAACTTGTACACAGTTATTGGCTACTTCCATTAATCTGCCACAGTCAGCAAGCCTTCAGTTACTCGGGGATAGGAAGAAAGGTAGTGCATTTTCAAAGTTTTTCAATTTTGACACTAAAGTGTGAATTCCAGTGCCAGTGTCTAAAAATGGTATTAAGACAGATCCTCAGCTACTATAAATTGGCATAGCTCTATTGGTATCAATAGAGCTAGGCCAGTTCACACCATATGAGGTCCTGAACATGATTTGCAAGCAGAGTGAGGCATAATTATTGGCTCCTTTTTATTCCCTTTTAAAACCAGTTTACCTGTTCTTCTGTTCCATTCTCCATGGTGTTCCTCCATGTAAAAGAAAACCCTCTCAAATGCCACATCTTCATAATGTATTGACACTGGACCTGAAACAAAGTAACACACAAAGAATCCCATTAAATAGTGATACTATGCTATTTTCACTTAAATGAATTAAATCCACTTGACCATTGTCAACAGAAGCTTTATTTTATTCCTTGATTGGCTGTCCAACGCAAGTAAATTATTGAAATTAAACTTAGTGTCATACGTTAAAAGTAAAAATTTATGGACACTGCAAGAAAGGAAGTCCTTCTGTAGCAGAACGGGGGTGGGAAGGAAGCATTAACTTTGGTGAATAATATAGTGTGTGTGTATATTATATAATGCAGCACATGGATAAAAGACGACAACAAAACCTAATATTGCTTCACCGTTCATCTGATCTCACAATATTTTTACAAACCCTAATTGAAGTGGATAGAAGTTTGGGGTGTGTTAGGAGTGCAGAATCAATTCCTAAATATGGACTCAATGCAGGAGTTGCTGATGTACGCAGGAGATCAGATTAGACTATCATAATGGTCCCATCTAGCCTTAAAGTTTATGAAAACATTTTAATATCCTTATGTAGTACTGGAGCAAAAGGATGTTCTAGGGAATACTTTTACCCACCAGTGAAATGCAGCCACCTCTGGGGAAAAGAGTAGCAGCTGTGTAAAATGTCAGAGCAATACCACTTACCAGTCTAACACAGACAGGGAAAATGTTATATTAAATACGAATCATAATAGATTGCTTTGTGTAAATTCTGCCACTTATGGAGCCATTTTTTCTAGTGATATGGTGTTTTCATTATATAATATACACACATTATATTATGCACCAAATTTATTCCTGGTGTAATGCCACTGCCCATGAAATTAAAGAATAAATGTTGGCATATTAGAAAACCTGCTTTGAAATAAAATAGCAGCTATAGACATCGTCTTAAAACTTTGTGACATACATGGCAAATTGCTGAATAAATACATAGTTTCCTCAGTCTAGAAGATTTCATTGATGGCTATTGAAGACGGTTTTTGAGTAAACTTGCTGTCCAAAAATTAACTGTGCTGTTAAAATTAATGTAAGGTTTCCAAAGTGCATTTACTGTTTAGTGAATATGTCATTATTTATTGGATCGATTACATTTAATTATCTTAAACAGACATCTATATTATCAGGTCTGATTATGCCATACTTACATGAATAGTCCTATTTTGAAATAAGAGGAACCATTCAAATGCGAAAAGATTACAGGATTGGAGTTATAGTCTGTTTTTTCATTTAAAACCAAGAATTAATGGACAATTTCAAATACTGCCTGCAGTTTCCTAGCCCTCATGGGCTAGAATTCTCTACTCAGTTTGTTACTGGAATACATTACTATTTATGGAAGATGTACACATTTGTGTTCATAAATCATATACAAACATCTGTTCTTTAGATCAGTCAGAGTAGTATGGCAACTGCTTTTTATATCAATATCCATGAAGCAAAGCTCACCTACTGACTTCACACTTAACCTCTATTTATTCTAGCAAATATTTCAGCAATTTAACTTTCTAGGTAAGGCAAAACATTGGGAATTGGAAACAGTCTGGCATGGAGTAGTGTGTGGCCCAGGCCCAAAACATGTCAAGTGGAAGCTAAATCAAAGATGAGGTGAAAATTAGAAGCAACATGATAGGCTCAAGCTAAAGCACAAGTAGTTCGGCTAGCAATTCTCTGTACTCACTATCACCTTTTGAAGACCATTTCTTACCATCTCTCCTGTTTTGATTGCCTCAGACCGACATACTTTCCTTATTTGACATAGAGCATAGTCTAGTCGTTAAAAACCAGAATGATGAGTTTGAAGATCTGTGTTCTCTAGTCCCAACTCTGCCACATTATTTGATTTTGCATACAAGTCAGTGAAGCCAATAATTTTAAAGCTGCACTCTAAAATATCTGGTGCACCTGCCAGCTGTGGTTGCACACAAGCAAATATGTAAGTACGTGTGAGGCAGTATTGCCCAATAAATAGGGTACTGGTCTGGGAGTTAGGAGATCAGAGCTCTTTCTATTGCTGGTTCTGCTGTGACCTTGCTCTCTTCAGGGCTCTGTCTCCTTTTCCCTGTCTGTAAAACAGAGGTGGTAATATTAATCTGCTTTTGTAAATCATTTTAATATCTGTGGATGAAAGGCACTATATAAGTTATTGTTGTTGAAATCCTAAAGTGCAGGAGTGCATTCAGTGTCTTAAGTGCTAAGGGTTGTTTTGTTTTTGAGTGCACTCATCTGTAAAATGGGAATATAATATTTCCCCTCCTGACAGGAATGGTATTGTGAGGCGCCGTTCATAAATGTTTGCAAAGCAATCTTAAGGTGCTTGCATGGTAGTTAGTATAATAGTGCAAAGTATGGCTAATTTTATATGAACAATAAGGTATTAACTTTAAAGTCTCTGTAGTAATTGAATTTCAGACTGCAACCCCAATCCTGCATCTATCCAATACCTAGTGCAGGATTGGGGCTTTATATAAAGCTCAACTAGATGTTTGTTTCCTTGGATCAAGAGGGAACAGGACAATTGCCTGCATTCTCCAGCATGAACAGATTTTAGAAGAGAGGATGACTTTCTGGTCTAGGTACTGGATTGGGAGATGTGTATTCAATTCCTGCTTCTAACAGATTTTCCTTGTCATCTTGAGCAAGTTACTTAATCTCTGTACCTCGGTTCTCTAGCCGTAACGTGGACATATTACTTGGTTTCTACTGCCCTTGATCTGCCTTGTTTACAAACTCTCTCTATAAAAAACTGTCCCTGCTCTAATGGGTTTGTACAACGCCTAACATAGTAGAACCCTGAAATCGGTTTTGTCATTTAGGAGCTATTTTAATCCATTTTGCATATTACGTGTGCTTTGCTGATAGCAGCACTAAGTGACTATAATGGATATATTTCAGGTTATTCATAGTGCAAGATCAAAATGAATTGCTAATTAAAGAGAAAAGGACATTTTTAGTGTTTCCTCTAGAGATCCTATTTTAAAGCAAAGATGACCTTTAATGATTCAGATGTGTATGTGTGCTCCCATCACCCTTCAGAGTCTGCTGGAGTAACAATAAGATTTGAACTTGTTCCCCTTTTCTTTCTGATTCACTGTAGCATTGAACCCTTGGCACTACAAAATTCTAATAATCCTAACTCTGCCACTCAGTTACTTTCAACCAAGGTGAGTGTTTTATCCCTACAGTGTCTATTTTCCTGGTCTAAAAGATGGATAACATTTAGCTGCCTCACAAAGGTGTAATTGTGATTACAAGTTCAAAGCACTATACAGACATTAAAACACTATATAAACCATAAATAGCGTTATTGCGTACAGACATACTTTCTTTATATGCTGATAACTTGCAAATTGTATCTAGAGTAGGCACAAGGAATTTTATTCTTCTAGGACACATGACATTGAACATTGTCTAGGATCTTAAATAAGGCATTTGATACTAAGCATATTTTTAAGATGGAAATGAGCTCAAGGCACAAATGGCACTCCACTCAGAATTGCTACTTTAAAGTCTTCAGGGAAATAAATTACTGATAACCTTATAGTTTTGGCAATGAATATACTATAGTGCTTTAACACCCCCTTATTATTATTATTATTATTATTTATTTATTTATTTTTGACAGCCCTGTGTACTGACTAAGTTTCAGGCATAGTTATTACATTCTTTCCCACATAATACCCTATGTAGCTTCAACTGGTTGTAGCATTCTACTTCACTTTGTCCTAAAATATCACTCTTACTATTAATTAACTGCTATAACCAATCTTCAACATCAGAGGCTGAGCATTTCAATGGTGGATGAATTGATCCTATGTGTATATGGGGTGAAATTCTACTCTTGAGATGTGGCCATGTAAGGGAGATGAAGGGGCAATGGCTAAGCCTTTACTATTGGACTGCCCACCAGCAACAACAGGACTAGTTAGGTGGAACTGAGGTTGAAAGGGGTTGGTGGGAATGCTCAGTTCACCTTACTGCTGCTCTGAAAATGAGAGCTAGTGACTGTGCCAACCTCTGGATGCACAGTAGACACCTGAACACTATCACACCCACAGCTGACACATCATGCCCCCCCACTTGGGATTGTGAAGTGCTGTGGGTTGCAGTACAAAGGCTCCTGTCTTGAATGTTAGTAGGACTCCTCTAATGCAATTGTATGGCATACTGGTTGGGGATACAGAGAAGCTCCATAGGCTGTCTTCACCTCAATCACCATTCTAATGCTCATCACAAGGGAGGATTTGGCCTAGAGTTAAGACTTCTAGCATTCTTTGAAGATGGAAAGTTGCTGTTGTTCTCAAGTACAAACAGCATTCTGGGCATTAAAAATATTGTCATCTTGACTTGCTAGTATGTCCGTTGCTCTCAGACATAATGACTATAGATGGCTTACTGATGGCTAAGAAGATGTGAACTGAACAGTTCAGCTGACCAACAACAACTATTGAGAAGCTTAATATGTTTAGCCCACTTTCAACTCTTGTACCTTAATTGGCTGCTGATGTTCAGGCAACTGGAGAGTAACCCATTCCCTATACACCAAGTATTAAGATTCTCAGCCTTCTTAAGAAGGTGCACTGGGTTCTTCTAAGAGCTTTCTCAACAATGTCAAAAATGATGATCTTGGGAAAGGAGTGGTGGTCCTACAATCCCAGGAAGGGAGAGCTTTCTTCTGTTAGAGCCTAATAGAACGAACTCCTGTGTCTCTAGAATTCGGGAGGGTGGTAGAATTTCCATGAATCATTGGCTGTGCACTGAGACCAGTAGTAACCGGAGCAGGCCATTAAGTACCATTTGACAATCATGAATAATCCTTTAATGTATTTTTAGGCAGGTGTTTATTTCTGCAGACCCATAGCCTTAAAAGCCCACCTATTCTGCAGGGAGGGAGGGACTCTGTAGAACTCATCTTGCAGGGCAGGCAATTTCTCTTGGAATAGAAACCATTTTAGTGCTACAGGAGAGTATATTTATCATATCAGCATCTGTATTTTCCAATGCAACA